CAGTAAATTCAATTGGATGACATTTCCGGGTTTTAAACTCATGAGGCTGGTGTGCAACATTTAATGAGTAACTCTGCATGATGATTAGCACAGAACATATCTCCCTCTTTGTTCCATAACGCGTGTGGCACATGTGGTGTGAACTAGTTTGAGCTGTATCTTAAGTCTGAACTATGGGGATCTAGTGTAGAGTATATACAAGTCCTCACTTGTGTCACATCTGATGCGTGCAGGCCTTGGATGATGTGCCTTTTTATCGTGAAAAGAATTGAATTTTTCATTTATCTGTTTACCATCACAAATAAGAATTCAAAAACACTATCTACGTTATCAATCTTATAATAACGTTCAGAAGTAGTTCTTACATTTCCCTTGAATAAGTTGAACTCCTTACTAAAAATCCCCTATCTCCTGTATCTGTGTTGCCGGATATATATTATCTATTGATCTACTTATTCAGGCTGGGAAAACCTTAAGTGCAAGGAAATGGCGTGCTGCATTTACATCAGAAGGTTATCTTGACATTGGCAAAACACTGAGTCGAGTTTATCGTGGGGTAAGTTTGACTTATTGATGTCAAAGTTTTTAAAGGATTACGATACTCTTTTCAGTTTTTGTGGTACTGATTCAATGAATATCCATTACACATAAATTCCTGAAAAGATGATTAGCATAGAAGTCTGCTAACCATCAAATTTCTATGACATAATAGGGGATTCATCCATCAATGAGAGGTGAAGTTTGGGAATTTTTATTGGGTTGTTATGATCCAAAGAGCACATTTGAAGAACGAGAGCACATACGACAACGGAGGAGGTAGTTTACTTTCTTTATTGCCTAAGTTTGGAAAACATATATAGCACTTGAATTTTTCCATTTTACAACACTTGATAATTGCAAGTTCATCACTTGACTTCAGTAGGGTAGCATGGTATTTTATTTTATTTATACTGTTGGAGGTGACCTGAAAATTGTTTTCAGCTGAAAACGGCTCCATATAGGATCATCGGTGACAGAATTAAAAAACCAGTAGCTCATCAAAATGGTTTAAACTCTGTACGTAGACGTTACCAAATTTGACAAGTTCATTACAGCTAGGAGATTGTTATTCATCATAAGAATACACACTGCTACCTCATCACTACTAATGGCAAGAGAAATGTTTGGGAATGAGGCTTAGTTGATCATCGTTCATTGATATAATTTGGCTCAAATTATCTTCACATGTAAAATGAGGATAATTTTACCATTCCTGAGTATAAACTAACACTGATCCATAAGCAATTTCCATACCCTATTGTTGACCTGGATTTCTGTTGTGTACGCTCAGGGTCCAGTATGCTGTTCTGAAAGAAGAATGCCGCACGATGTTTCCCATGATTGGAAGTGGTAGTTTTATTACTGCCCCTGTAATTACGGAAAACGGTGACCCTATTGTAGATCCTATTACTCTCCAAGAGGCACAAGCAGCAAAAGAATTAAATTCAGGTGGTCAACAAAACAGTAATCCTAGATGTGAAATGGTAAAGGAGCATGACAAAAGAATAATCCAGTGGAAACTCTCATTACACCAGATAGGTTGGTTATCTATATAGATTGCATGTACTTGCTAAACAACAACTTGTTGTAATGTGTTAAAGAATGACAAAAGTCCCACATCGGTGGTTAATGAGATGGGTGGACCCTTTATAGGGCTTGGGCAATCCTTCTCCCTTTGAGCTAGCTTTTGGGGTGTGAGTTAGGTCCAAGACCTAATTTAACATGGTATCAGAGCAGGGCCGGCCCGTCTCACCCGATGTTGGGGCCCCCAAAAAATCAAAATTGCCCACGCACCAGATGCTAAGTACTGGGCGTGAGGTGGGGTGTTAAAGAATGACAAAAGTCCCACATCGTTGGTTAATGAGATGGGTGGACTCTTTATAGGGCTTGGGCAATCTTTCTCCCTTTGAGCTAGCTTTTGGGGTGTGAGTTAGGCCCAAGACCTAATTTAACATAATGTTTTCTTTCTCTAAAAAGTGTTTACCTAGTGCCTACCGACATATTTCTGTTGGCAAATCAAGTACTCCCTCCATTGCAATTTATGTGACACTTTTTCCATTTTAGTCATTCCCGAAAAGAATGACATGTTCCATATTTAGTAACAACCATTTCAATCTTCATATTTTACTCTTAATGAAATGATTTATAGCCACAAATTTTCTATGACTTATTTGAAATGACAAGTTTCAAAAGTCTACCCTTTTCTCTTAAACTCCATGCCTAGTCAAACACTTTCACATAAATTGGGATGGAGGGAGTAGTAATTTAACTTTGGATGTACCACATGTTTATCCGGCACTCTTCAAAATCACTTGTTGGTACTCTTTCTCTTCAGGTTGTTTATCTAGTAACCATTCAGTCTGGTTTATGTGTTTATGCTAGGACTCGATGTTGTTCGGACCGACAGGACACTTGTCTTTTATGAGAAACAGGAGAATCTATCCAAGCTTTGGGATATTCTGTCTGTTTATGCTTGGTTTGACAAAGATATCAATTATTGTCAAGGTGGGTTGTCATATTATCTTCTTGATATGAAATTGTGTACATTATAGCTTCTCTTTGATCCGATAACTGACCATTATGGTCCGGCCCTTCCTTGGAAATCGTGCATAGCAGGAGTTTTGTTCACCATACTGCCTTAATTATTTTTTTAGCTTCTCTTTATCCGGTCAAATGCATACATATTTGTTGATAAACTATTTTAAAAAGGTGATACCTTTTTCCATAGCACTTGTATGTGATATCATTAGCATTATCTATATCGAGTTATCAGTGCATAGAATCAAAAGACTTACCAACTAATCAAAAGAGAAAGGGAAAAACAAAGGTACAAAAGAAACAACATTCCTTCCATTTTCTTTGTCAATGCATTAGAATCTCCTTATGTTATTTTGTTTCTGCAGTTGTTTATCCTGTTTCTCTATTGAATATTAAGCTCTTGACAATGCTGAGCAGGAATGAGCGATCTCTGTTCTCCCATGATTCTTCTTCTTGATGATGAAGCCGATGCATTTTGGTGCTTTGAACGCCTAATGAGGAGACTGGTATATATTAACATTTCTTTGCTCTTATACAAATTGTTTCATCATTCTAATGTTGTAAATCATATTTTTGAAATGCCTTAGCTTCTCATAATTCAATCAGCAATAGATATTGTCGGCATTGTATTGTACTGTACGATTAGGACAATTCCGTCCCCCTTTCCAGTTGAAGGGAAGTATTATTATGAGATTAGGAAATTAATCATGAATCAAATAGAAGAAGAATTTCCCTTTCCTTATTAAGGAATAATGTTGTACTTCAATAGCTATATTTTCGATTTGCAGCTTCAATTATTGGTGTTACTGTATGGATTATGCTTTTTGCAGTTCTAGTGACTAATATCAAGTGTTGTGTGAAATTTTAAAGAGAGGAAATTTCAGATGCACCGAGAGGTCTGTCGGAGTAGAGGCTCAGCTGAGTAATCTAGCTTCAGTAACACAAGTTATTGATCCTAAACTTCATCACCACTTGGGTATTTTATGATCTTTCCCCTTTAATACATACATACCAAGTCCAGTAAACAAACTATTTATCGTCTTATTTCTTCGTGAAATGAACTCACAGAGACATTAGGTGGAGGTGATTACCTATTTGCTATCCGTATGCTCATGGTTTTGTTCCGTCGAGAATTCTCTTTTGCTGATTCATTATATCTTTGGGAGGTAGGATTTCTCTCCTGAATACTTACTTTTCTTAGTCTCTAAATTTTGAACTTCTCGGTCATCGCCTTTTTGCAACAGATGATGTGGGCCTTGGAATACGATCCCGACTTGTTTCTTATGTATGAAGACCCTGACTTAGCTGCTGCAAAATCTGAAGGATCTAAAGGAAGAACAAAATCGACACGCCAGTGTGGGAAATTTGAGAGAGAAAATCTGAAAAATCGAAGCAAAGGTGCTGAAGCTCCCCTCCCAATTTCCGTTTTCCTAGTAGCCAGTGTCCTTAAAGACAAGAGCACAAAGTTGCTTACAGAAGCTAAAGGACTAGACGACGTTGTTCAGGTTGGTTTCAAAAGTACATGAAGTTAAACATTATTTTGATCTCCAAGTTCCAACTCAAATAGTAAGAAAAATCTTTCGAATCGTATTGTAATAATATATTTGAACTATAACAGATACTGAATGACATGACCGGGAGCCTGGACGCGAAAAAGGCTTGCACTAGTGCAATGAAACTTCACAAGAAATATCTTAAAAAGGTAATGTACATCTAACTCAGGTGCAACATTACAAGTACTACTCTCTCTGATCCTAATAACACGTTCCAATAATACTTGTCGTTTTAGAAAATCAAAATGATATCCTTGCTACTCAAATAGGTTGTGAATTTCACTTTCTAATGATGATGGCTTAAAACAGGCAGCCAATGCCAACAGGTAACAAAACACAAAAGCCAAAGCAAGCACGCTACGCAATTCAATAAGCCATGGAGCTAATGTAAAATGAAGTTTGTGATGGTATTTCCCCAGTTCAATGTTGAAACAATATTGCTACAGGGTAAGAATGCTATCGCGATTTTCGATATTAATTCAGATATTTTTGGCTATGTTGAGGAAGAGTTACTGTTTTCGAATACATTACTATGGCTTGATTTTGTTGAAGCCAATGTAAATTTCCATTTGTCATCCACCACCTCCAATTTGGGAGTATTTTTGTATACTAAGACACTCTTCAATAGGTTGTAACAACATAACACATTTTCTTTTGTAGTTTCATATTGGAAAACATTTCCTTAGTACCAAACACAACTTTAAGAGCGACCATTTATTCAACATAAAGCTTACACTAGCTATAGCTAGACGGACAAAACGCGATAAGAGGGGTTGCTCAGATGGTAAACAAGCTTTACACACGATGGTGTTTATTATTATTATACTAAACGCACTAGTTTTAGTACTCGTGAACTTTTATACGTACTGATCAGAAGTAGCATTCAGTAGGCTCGATGTTGCAGGCGCGGGGGAGGGACCGAGCTCTTTGTGACATGAGCTCAGGCTCCCGCGTCACCATCATTTTAAGTGCCGGACAGCGGCATTTAGTGTCAATGTTCCTCAATTCTTGGCAGCATTGTTGGAGATGTTCCTGTTGGTTGCGCATTTCATGGTCGTCTTTCGTCACCATGCTTAGCTCCTTTCTTGAAAGGAGCATCCTGCAATAATCAGTGACGTACACAGAATTTTTTTTAAGTTATATCGTGTAATTAGTGACGTCTTATTCGTCACTCTATGTTACACTAAAATTCAGAGTACTATGATGGTTAAAATATTTAAATGTCATTATGTCAATGTCAATTAGAATAGGGAAAAAGGACAAATATATCCCTAAATTATCGTAAATGGTATGCAGATACCCTCCGTCATACTTTAGGGACATTGGTGCCCCTGTCGTCCAAAAACTAGAGCATATACCCTTTATACAAAGGGACATACACGTGTCATAATCTTATCCACCGACCCGACATCGGATCGATGGATAAGGTTGCGCCACGTGTTCCTATTTAGTCTTCCATTAGAGTGAAGGGCATATACACTCTAGTTTTTGAATGGCAGGGGTACCAATGTCCCAAAAGTATGACGGAGGATATTTGCATACCATTTAAGGGGTATATTTGTCCTTTTTCCTATTAGAATATAGAAACTACATAAAACAAATTTAGTAGTAGAAGGTACAATAATTGAGGATTTAAAATATTTAGAAGATATATGAAAAAACAGATTTAAAGAGAAACCTTTGACTTTCTAAATATATGGAGTAGTAATAATGTGGAACACAATAATTTTTTGACCACATGTCGTAGAGGGGACGGGGATTATTTTAAGACGTTATTTTCTGTCTCAAATTTTTAGTTACATTGTATTATTTTTCAATTAGTGTACTCAGACTGATTATATAGTGTGTAATATATACTCTATATTATTAATTTGACAATTTTTTTAAAACCTGCAGTGGTTGAGCCTGTGCGTCTGGATCTGCTCTTGGCAACTTTGTGGATTTTCGATATCATCCTCCTCCGTCACGGCAACCGTGACGGAGAACTTGTTGGCATTTGCAAATGCCAAACAAACATAACAGAAGAGCAGCAACAAGTGAAATCTTCCCCATGACAACAATATAATTAATCAGATGTGTTAAAATTTTGCAAGTGCTTGTGATGGTGAAGTAGTCGATTTTAAAGGTCTATTTATAACTGATTGAATGGTTTGCATGTTAAATACGTGTTGCATCACTGCAAATTATGTAGATGAAAAAATAAAAGTTATCATCACAAGAAAAAGTAATTAAACGTGGGTGGTTTTTACCTTCCGTGTGTCAATTTTAACATGCAAATGCTGCCGAAAAAGTTCTTTGTTTGTGCTAAGAATTTCTGCGTCCGAAAATAGAAATGGTCCTTCCTTCATAAGTTAGGTTTTGGCCTTTTGGGGTTAAAATAGACTCAAGATCCATCTTTACATGGTATTAGAGTTAGACCTATCATAATTATTTGTTTACTGATATTGGATTCCCATTTTATTGTGTCCACACTCCCATTAACGATTTATCGATGTTGGGCCCCATATTATGGTGTCTACGCTCCAGTTAAGGAGGAGTTAACTATTTTTCGATGTTGGGCCTCCATATTATAATGTTCACGCTTCATTTAACGAGGTATGAGCGTGTGTAAGAGTGTTAAGAAATTATAGTGTTCAAGCTCCAATTAACAAGGATTTAACGATTTACCGACGTAGGGCCTCTATATTATAGTGTTCACGTTTCAGTTAACGAGGTCTGAATGTGCGGCAGAGTGTTAAGAAAATATAGTGTTCACGCTTGAGTTAATGAGGTCTGGGTGCACGAAGGAGTGTTAAGAAATTATAGTGTTCACACTTTAGTTAACGAGGTCCGATTGTACGATGAAATGTTAAGAATTCCCACATCAGAAAAGGGATGATAATTTGATCTTCTTATATAAATTTGGACAATCCTCCCCTTATAAGCTAGTTTTTGAGTTGAGTTAGGCTCAAAATCTATCTTTAACGATAAATTCGCAAATAGTTAAAATGCCCATGAGCATTGAGACTAAAATTAATTAACAAGCATATAAAACAAGTCTCTTTCATTTCCCATAAGATATAACCAAATCAACTCTGGCTTTATTACCATACATACACACGATGGTGTGTTCTTTATTATAGTACTTTGAACGTAATTTTTATACTGATCGAACTTCTATATCAATTAAAAGCTACATTGAGTGGGTTGAATGTTACACATACGCGGAATATAACGAGCTTTCCCTAACATGCGTTGCGCCTCTTCGCCTTGTCTACCGCAATCCTGCATCACCATTTTCTTAAGCGCTGGGCATCGGCATTGAGTGTCCATGTTCTTCAATTCCTGGCAACATTGTTGGAGATGCTCTTGGGCTTGGTTGATCTCATGATCGTCATCTGTTACCATGCTCAACTCGTCGTTAAAGTGTTGGTGGCTTCTTGAAATGTACATCCTGAAATCAGTAACGTACGTAGAATTTTATATTAACGTGTGGAAATTTGACTTATTGTTATGAATGGACTTTTAAGAAAATTTGAGTCGATATTATAACTAAGTTATATGTTTGTGTGAAGGCGTTATTATGTGTCATTGGTCTATTTTGTAAAACGTGGTATAAATTTTAAAATGTAACTTATATATTTATAAACTACGTAAAAAATACTATAAGTCATAATAATTGATAACTCAAAATATTTAATAGATATATGAAAATTTACAACAAAAAATGGACTTGTTTGAATCTCAAAATTCAAAATGTGTCACATAAATTGAGACAAAGGAAGTAGCGTTGTTTGGTCGAATTTAATAGTATGTAAATGTATTCATTTCCTCTGCATAGAGAGGCTAGACTATATTAGTAACAAGCAAACCTTGTATGTGTATCTCCAAGCATTTTGGAGATAAATACCAATTAGAGGGCCTGAGACGACCCAGAAAGCACTTGATCATATCATGATCTGATTTGTAAGCCTACTTGGGTCTTGAGTAAGTATTTACTTGTAAGAACGGAATTCTTTGTTTTGTAATGGATAGTTGCAACTCCATAAAAAAGAATTCAGTCAAATTTTTCTTATATTGAACCATTCCTATATCATATATGTGTATGTGTAAATACCGGTACCATATAGAATTTTTTTTAAAGTAATGTGACTTCTTATTTTGGGCTTGCTTGGAAGGTTCCAAATTTAGGTGTAAATATTTGGTAATTACTTTGTTAGTATAGAATCAGGTGTAATTGAGGGAAGGATTATACTCTCTAATTTTCAAGGGAAGCAAAAAATTGGTGGTTATTACAAAAGCCAAAGGTAATTACTATAATCAGTATAAAATTAAGTGTAATTGAGGGGGCAATATACTCTACGAGCAAGAAGTTGTTGGTTATTACAAAGTACAATTATTACAACTATATCTTCTTCTTTTGTTTTTAATATTTCTTACTCATACATTAATTAGTAACATTAATTGCAGTACTTACGGAAAAAAGTACTTTTCAAAAGAAACAATTTATATTTATATTTAGCTAATCAATTTGATAACATTTATGAGCAACACTGATATATGACCCAAATTTCTAAAAGCTTATTTTTCAAAAAAGCACTTTAACTTCTTTAAAAACTTTTTTTTTTTAACTTTTGAAAACAACGTTTACGTATAGTTAAGTAATTTTTACCTGCAGTGGTTAAGTTTCTAACTCTAAATTTGCTCTTGACAACTTTGTGGATTGTCAATATCGTCCTCCGTCACGGCGTGTTAGCATTTGCAAATGCTAACAAGCACAACAGAAGAACAGCAACAAGTGAAATCCTCCCCCTGGCTAATTATTTTTGGTAATTAATTGCAATTTGCAAATGCTTGTGATGGTGAAATTAGTGGATTTTTAGGGTGTATTTATAGCTGATTGGATGGTTTGCATGTTAAGTACGTGTTGAGTGAAAGGCTAATTAGGTAGATGAAAAAAATTAATTAATGTCAATCATCAAAAGAATAAGTAATTAAACGTGGCTGGCTGTAACCTTCCGTGTGTCAATTTTAACATGCAAATGATGCCGAAAAAGCTCTTTGTTCGGATTCGCAATCAATAAGGGTGGAGTTATAGTATCAGGTACGCGTTCAGATAAATTTAATAATAATTTATATTTATATTAGTGAATATGTATAAATATTTAATTACAAACGTGTAATAACTATAACGAGCTATATGTTTAATGATAAGTTTAGAAATTCATAATGTAAATTTGGATTCGCGCTGAAAAGTTCCATATTGCAGGGTAAGCTCTCCCTAACAAAGGTTAGTTCGTACATGTACTTATACAAATTCAATAAATACGTAGAAATATTTATTCCGCTTTTGTTTAGCAATGCTTTTGCAAATTGATTTTATTTTAATTTTTTGTAAAATTAATGTTCTAAAATAATATAAATTGAGACTCGACTTAAAAAAAGTTGAATTTTTTTACTTGGGCTATATATTACCATATACTGTATTATTGTTTACTAGGCTATATATTACTATATACTATTGTTTGTTATTAATAATGAAATTAGTGATGGATAAAATTTCATAGCTAAATAGTAAAAATCTCATGCTAATTCTATTTATCTACAGATTAATAATAAATTATAAGAAAATTCAATTAGTTATTTAAGAGCTAGCTATTTAACTACTAATTAGCTGGGAATTACTGACAAATTCCATAGCTAATTCCGTGTTTTCGAATAATGATAATATAATCAAACTCTAAAGCCTATCATCCACCTTTTGAACTTCTTTTAAAACTTGAGTCACACAAATTAACTAGCTATATCTCATCACCCAAAGTTCATTAATAAACATGAAAAAAGGAGGACTTTTCATTTGAGTATAAATTTAAAGAGATATAAACAAAGCTATGATCATACAACATTTTTTTTCTTTCTTTCTTCATTTTGCTGACAACTTGATTACATTACTCTTCAACTTCAAAGCTCAATGTAATGGTACCTTGTAATAATATTGTCACGACCCGATTTCTCAAGTCATGATGGCACCTACTATAACCCACCAGCAGGTAAGCCAACCCGTAACCCGGAACAACAAGTAATGGGTCTAAGGGTAGAAACTAAACAAGAGTAGACAAATAACAATATAAACAGGCGAAAGCAAACCAAAAACATATATACAAATAAAGATTACTCCCAGAACCTTGAAGTCACTAGTACAGAGCTACTAACAAAATGAGTACAAGTCCCAAAAGTGGACAACAGAGACTGGACTGTCTCGAAAGGTAAAAGACAAGTCTATATACACAGATAGAGACTGAAATAGTACAAGACGCCGTGTGCTCACTCCCGTCTCCGGATCAAACTGCTCCAAGCTCGATCAACGCTGGCTACTAGTGCCCGGACCTGCATCACGAAATAGATGCAGAGCGTAGCATGAGTACCAAAACCACAGGTACCCAGTAGGCATCATAGGCCGACTGAACTTGAAAAGTAAAGGCAATATGAAAAGAAGGAATAATACAAACCGAGGGTCAAGAACTAAATATAACTAACAATGGAATGCACACGAGTGTACAAAGAACTAACTAAAGTAATCTATAAGCTAACTACACCTAATTGGGCCCCCATAAGCCCAGAAGGTACACTCGTGCGCAAGTTAAATAAAAACCCGAACGGACCCCCATAAGCCCGACGAGTACACAGAATAACTATAACTAAAGAGAATTGCATAAAAGAACCCAAGAACGAAGAACATCGAACCAGAACCTCAACCCTAATTAGTAGAATCTGACAACACTGAGGCCGGACCTCGAACCGGATGCTCAGCAGAAGTACCCAAGTAACCAATCACAAGTATCAAGTATAAGAGGCCGGAACTCTAACCGGATGCTCTATATAAGTATCTGGGCAATAGAGGCCGGACCTTAAACCGGATGCTCTATAAATGTGCCAATGTAGCTGCTGAAAGAGTCCCAATTGATCCATACTCATAAATATCCGTGGAACGCCGTCCACACATAGCCAATCAATGAAAGTCCTTGGAACTAAATCGAAAATCAAATTAAAATCGCGAAGTAGAACTAGTGTCGCCGATGTAACTCGTGAAGCCGTAACATCGAGGAAAATAAGGATAACTATAGTCGGAGAGAGAGTATCGCCTAACTAAGGCCCAAACTATCAGACTCAAGTCTGCTACACCAGTTTACAGGGATCTAAGCCGACTGAGCGACGTCGGGGTAAAACTAAGGCCTATTGGATCCGAATCATGTATTTCTAAGGCAAGCCCTAGTCAAACCTAAACTAAGGCCCAACATGCTTCAAATAAACAGTAATTAAACATGCAAGCACTCTACATAGCGAGGAGGGTCCGTTAATAACACAAATCATGCTCACAGTTACCCGATAATTCCTGAAATAGGCCGAAAACATGATTCTTAACACCTACGCAGGATTTATATAACTACCCAACCCAATTCCTAACTAATCAACATGCATTCACATTCTCGAGCTCAATCTAAGAGAGGGAAAACCATAGCCTACCTGTAGGCCGATGACACGCTCCAAAATCACTCCTTCGGAGCTTTCCCTTTCCGAACGTCCTCAAAACGCTGCCCCGCTATCAAAAATAGAGTCACAACGTTAATACGGTCGTTTAGACACCAAAATCACAATAAACGGAGACTGGTCAATTTTGGAGTCAAAACGAGAATCGTGGGACCCGCACAGGAAATTTCGAAATTAATCCCAAAAGTGGGTCCTAACCAGTTCCCCCAGCTCATGTCCCCAAATGGGACACAATTCGGGGCTCGGAAACAACACAATATCAACATGCAACTAAAACCCAAATTTTCTCAAAAAATAGAAATGGGACAGCAGCAAATTCAGCGTATTTACCAAAAACGGGCGATCTACAGTAAAATCTGACAACACCAAAATGTTCTCCTTGAAAAACCACTTAAGATAGCCTCAAAAATCACCAAAATCGGATCTAAAATGGCTAAAGAAAACAAGTCTACAAAAATTTCCAAAATCAAGCTCACAAAAAGAGGTCTGGCAGCAGGTATTTTTACGAAAATTACCTCAAACGGGGACTCCAAATCACTATCCGAGCTCACCAACACGTTGTCCTCGAAAAATCTCACAACTTTGCCTTTTGGATCGCCCAAATCGGTTGAGAGATGAGAGAGTTATGAGGGTTTGAAATTTGAGAAAGTTAGCTGATTTTTCTGCATTTTATTGCAGATTTTCTGCAACTTTTCCCAAAAACTAAAAACTTCGACGGGGTGCTCCGAACTCGTTCGGAACCCCGTGCACGCAAACGAGATATGTAACCATACCAAATTCGACATTCCAGACTCAACGGCGTAGTCGAAATTTTCATCAGAGGTCATTTCGATAAAAAGTGGGTCCCACTTCCAAAAGCCCTTTAAGTCAAAACTCACAAAAGGGCTCGGAAAGATAATCGAAAAACCTCCAGACACAAAAGAAGGGTCAATCTAGACCAAACTCGACATTCCGGAGCTAACCACGCTGACGGAATTCTCATCCGAGCGCGTTTACTCAAAATGTTGACCAAAGTCAACCTTATGTCAAATTTCAAAGGCTAAAACGCCTAATCGCACCGACTCACACTGAAAACCTCGGGAGTCATGTCGACCACGCTACTAGCCTAAAATGACCCTTTCGGAGCTGATGAAATCGTCAGAATTGGGTTCCGATGTCATCTTCTTGAACTTTTGATCGAAAATGATCGTTCAAGGTTCATAAGCTCCAAAACACAAAAACTCACACCAGGACCAAACGAACGACCAGGTGACCGAACTATCAGTCCCAGCAAGTCATAAATGACTTGGGGTCGCTATAGGAACGCTCTAAACGATGCACAGAAGGCAAGACACAGAAATGACCAAGAGGGTCATTACAAATATATATAGAAATGTGACCATTTTAAAAATGTGCCACGTAAAATGGGATAGTGCAGAGTAGTATAAGGTAGTGCACCACAAAGTACATTAAAGAAAGAGTTTAAGTTATATATATCGTCAGGTTGAGTGATGATCAGTGTAACCAATCCGTCAAAAGAAGGAAAGTTAAGAGAGCAAGCAAAACTGCTGGTAAAACACCAAATTTGGATTTGAATGCTGCAGTGTTTTTAGGAAACTCTAGTGGAAGCACGCATTCTTCACCATTGAAGAACACCTTAGAAGGGAATCCATCGCCACCATCGATGTTAATATGTGGTGTATTCTTCTTCAAAAATGAAATAATTGATTGTTGTTTTCCAGGTACTCTTGGATCCTTATTAGGATTAGTCCCATTAACCTCTCCTACCAAGAATTTCAAACCAGGTAAACCTTGCATAAATATGGTGTTGCTCTTTTCTTTAGGTAACTTTGTACCGTTAAACGAGTACACGTTTTCATAGCCATTAGCTACATCTTTCTTCATTTGGATCGCGAAAAACCAGTTTTCAAACGCGTTATTTCCCCAGTTAAAGAGTGTTATACGCACAGTCCATCCTGTCTTGTGGTTTGAGGAGTTTTCAAGAATGTGGAGGGACCCTGGAGCTCCTGCTGATTCTTTCTACCAGGTTCGCCCTGAATGTACAAGTGTTCCAAAAACAAGATTCAGAATCAAGGTGAGTTTTTTCAATTTGTATGGAAAGGGGTATTGTATTACATTTTGAATAGATTTTTGGTATGAGCTTATATGAAGAAGTTGGGATTCTAACTTGTTTGGGACTGAGGCGTAGTTGTTGTTTTATGTTTAGAAGCTTTTCTAGGAAAACTAGTGATGCGAATGAATGAGGTAGTCTATTGTCTTGTGCTGTGGGAAGAATTGAGATGATTGAAAAGATCATGTGTTTTAATGAGATGGAAGATGTTTAGCTGTCAGACCTTATACTTGGGTTCTAAATGGGGATCATCAACTGCAATTAGCATCAGCCAAATCAAATGATCGGCGGCTGCCAATGTCTCTTGTGGTAACAAAAATGTAGAACCAAATATCTATTGGAAGTAATAAAGACTTCATAGTAGAACATAAATGTTTTGCTTGCGGTTTGCTCCTCAGAATTTGATAGTGGCATAAAGCCTTATTGTTTGAAACATTTTTCGGTTTGCATTCGGATTTTAGTAGTTGGGACTGGAACTTGGTCCAAGATTACCTGGTTTTAAGTTGGGGGAAGGTGGATGTTCACCTGAATTTCCTTTTACATGTTTCATAAGCTGTACTTGCAGATTAAACTACACTTCCCGTCCCAATTTAAGTGTCTTAGTTTGACTAGGCACGAAGTTCAAGAAATGAAGAGAGACTTTTGAATTTTGTGGTCTTAAATTAAAGATTTGTATAGTCCTTTAAATCTTGTGGTCTTAAACTTGTTCCGTAGAATATTGGAATTGGAAAACTTGCTAAATATAGAAAGAGACGCTCTTTTTGGGACAAACCAAAATGGGAAGTAAGACACTTAAATTGGGATGGAGGGAGTATATGTTTTCCTGTTCCTTCAATTTGTACAAATAATCTTTTACTCTTAGACTCTTCTCGCTCTTTACCTGGCGAATCAGTAAATTCAATTGGATGACATTTCCGGGTTTTAAACTCATGAGGCTGGTGTGCAACATTTAATGAGTAACTCTGCATGATGATTAGCACAGAACATATCTCCCTATTTGTTCCATAATGCGCGTGACACATGTGGTGTGAACTAGTTTGAACTGTATCTTAAGTCGGAACTATGTGAATCTTAGTGTAGAGTATATACAAGTCCTCACTTGTGTCACATCTGATGTCGGGAAGCTGGATGAGCATTTTAAACGGCCGCCTTTTTATCATGAAAAGAATTGAATTTTTCATTTATCTGCTTACCATCACAAATAAGAATTCAAAAACACTATCTACGTTATCAATCTTATAATAACATTCAGAAGTAGTTCTGACATTTCCCTTGAATAAGTTGAACTCCTTACTATAAATCCCCTCTCTCCTGTATCTGTGTTGCCGGATATATATTATCTATTGATCTATTTATTCAGGCTGGGAAAACCTTAAGTGCAAGGAAATGGCGTGCTGCATTTACATCAGAAGGTTATCTTGACATTGGCAAAACACTGAGTCAAATTTATCGTGGGGTAAGTTTGACTTATTGATGTCAATGTTTTTGCAGGATTACATGATATATGATCCTGAAGCTTCTATTCTACAGTTTTAACTCTTTTCAGTTTTTGTTTTACTGATTCAATGAATATACATTACTCATAAATTCCTGAAAAGATCATTAGCATAGAAGTCTACTAACAATCAAATTTCTATGACATTATAGGGGATTAGAGGTGAAGTTTGGGTATTTTTATGGGGTTGTTATGATCCAAAGAGCACAGTTGAAGAACGAGAGCACATATGACAACGGAGGAGGTAATTTACTTTCTTTATTGCCTTGAGTTTGGAAAATGTATATAGCACTTGAATTTTTCCATTTTACAACACTTAATAATTGCAAGTTCATCACTTGACTTCAATAGGGTAGCATGGTATTTTATTTTATTTATACTGTTGGAGGTGACCTGAAAATTGTTTTCAGCTGAAAACGGCTCCATATAGGATCATTGGTGACAGAATTAAAAAACCAGTAGCTCATCAAAATGGTTTAAACTATGTACGTAGACGTTACCAAATCTGACAAGTTCATTACAGCTAGGAGATTGTTATTCATCATAAGAATACACATTGCTACCTCATCACTACTAACGGCAAGAGAAATGTTTGGGAATGAGGCTTAGTTGATCATCGTTCATTGATATAATTTGGCTCAAATTATCTTCACATGTAAAATGAGGATAATTTTACCATTCCTGAGTATAAACTAACACTGATCCATAAGCAATTTCCATACCCTATTGTTGACCTGGATTTCTGTTGTGTATGCTCAGGGTCCAGTATGCTGTACTGAAAGAAGAATGCTGCACGACGTTTCCCATGATTGGAAGTGGTGGTTTTATTAATGCACTTGTAATTACTGAAAACGGTGACCCTATAGTAGATCCTATTACTCTCCAAGAGGCACAAGCAGCAAAAGAATTAAATTCAGGTGGTCAACAAAACAGTAATCCTGGATGTGAAATGGTAAAGGAGCATGACAAAAGAATAATCCAGTGGAAACTTTCATTACACCAGATAGGTTGGTTATCTATATAGATTGTATGTATTTGCTCAAAAATTCAACAACTTGTTGTAATGTATTCTCTCTCTAAAAAGTGTTTACCTAGTACCTACCGACATTTTTCTGTTAGCAAATCAAGTACACCCTCCATCCCAATTTATGTGACAGTCTTTCCTTTTTAGTCATTCCCATCACAGGTAAAAAAAAATTACATGCCATCAAATGCTGAAGAAGAAGCTAGCATAGTTAACAACACATCACAAGTAAAGACTCGAGAACTAGTAGAGATAGCTCTCCCCTGAATTTCGATTCTAATAACCCATGGAAGATCAAGAAATAGATTACCCCTCAAGTTCTACATCAAGTAAATCTGGTGATTTTATATTCTTCCACACTGATACTTGGACAAAGCCAAACAATTGGTGAACGGGGCCATGAAGGGTGTTTTAACAAAAATGGCATGTACATTAGATTCACACACCAAAAATGAATATGAAATCAAACAGTAAAAGAAAACATGAACCTATTTCCCATCTCGGGATCCCCACACGATCCTAGACAAGTAAAAGAATTCTTTTTCGAGGGAATCATCTCCATCCTTTATTGTAGAATTCTTGAAACTTTCTTCAAGGAAATTGATTCTTTCCGCAATATAGTCCCTGGACACTTCCAACTTTGGATATGAACGTTGTACATACAGTAGATGTTTATCAACTGATGGATTTTGGTTAGATATCTTTGTATCACACAAAGATATGAGTATAACCAAATCTAGCGGAAAATTATCTTCTTGGTTTTCATGTACTCCTCCAGATTCTTGATTTTCATGTTTGACTCCAGAATCTTGATTTACAGCTTTTTGTTCAGAATTCGGATAATTGACGTTCTCTCCCGAACCAACATTCTGCCCCTCTTTTTCTTCATCGTTTCTAATACTTTCTTCAATGGTTTCTTCCA